AGCTCGAGGAAGCTAAACGCAAACTCCAAGCTCGTCTCGCTGAAGCTGAGGAAACCATTGAGTCACTCAACCAGAAGGTCATCGCTCTTGAGAAGACCAAGCAGCGTCTTGCGACTGAAGTTGAGGATCTGCAGATCGAGGTCGACAGAGCTACAGCCATCGCCAATGCCGCTGAGAAGAAGCAGAAGGCATTCGACAAGATTATTGGAGAATGGAAACTCAAGGTTGATGATCTCGCTGCAGAACTTGACGCTAGCCAGAAGGAGTGCAGGAACTACTCCACCGAGTTGTTCCGCCTCAAGGGAGCATACGAAGAAAGTCAGGAACAACTTGAGGCTGTACGCAGGGAGAACAAGAACCTCGCTGATGAAGTTAAGGACCTGCTTGACCAGATTGGTGAGGGTGGAAGGAACATCCACGAAGTTGAGAAGGCCAGGAAACGTCTAGAGGCCGAGAAAGACGAACTCCAGGCAGCTCTTGAGGAGGCTGAGGCTGCACTTGAACAAGAGGAGAACAAGGTATTGCGTGCACAGCTTGAGCTTAGCCAGGTCAGACAGGAGATTGACCGTAGGATTCAGGAGAAGGAGGAAGAATTCGAGAATACCAGGAAGAACCACCAGAGAGCACTTGACTCCATGCAAGCATCACTTGAGGCTGAGGCCAAGGGCAAGGCTGAGGCACTCAGAATGAAGAAGAAGCTCGAGGCTGACATCAACGAACTCGAAATTGCCCTCGACCACGCTAACAAAGCCAATGCTGAGGCTCAAAAGAACATCAAGAGATACCAGCAGCAACTCAAGGACGTCCAGACCGCACTTGAGGAGGAACAGAGAGCCAGGGATGAGGCTAGAGAACTTCTTGGAATCTCTGAACGCAGAGCCAATGCTCTTCAGAATGAACTTGAAGAAAGCCGCACTCTTCTTGAGCAGGCTGATCGTGCACGCCGACAGGCAGAGCAGGAATGCGCTGACGCCCATGAACAACTCAATGACATCAGTGCACAGAACGCATCCATCTCAGCTGCCAAGAGGAAATTGGAGGCTGAATTACAGACCCTTCACGTAAGTTTCATCATCCTTGAAATGCAAATGATTGATATTGTCGTTCATTGTCATTGTTTTATTTTTGTTTTTTCTTTTTCAATAGTCTGACCTCGATGAACTTCTCAATGAGGCCAAGAACTCCGAAGAGAAGGCGAAGAAAGCAATGGTTGATGCAGCTAGATTGGCTGATGAACTTAGAGCTGAACAGGATCATGCTCAGACGCAAGAGAAACTGCGTAAAGCACTTGAGGCACAGATCAAGGAACTTCAAGTACGTTTGGATGAGGCTGAGGCCAACGCACTCAAGGGTGGAAAGAAGGCCATTCAGAAATTGGAGCAACGCGTCAGGGAACTTGAGAACGAACTTGATGGAGAACAAAGGAGACACGCTGACGCACAAAAGAACCTGCGCAAGGCTGAGCGTCGCATCAAGGAGCTCAGCTTCCAGGTAAGAGATCTAGAGATATTTTCATCTCATTCCCGAGAGAATTTGTTCATTATTTTTATTAATGTCATTTATAGGCTGATGAGGACCGCAAGAACCACGAGCGCATGCAGGACCTCGTTGACAAACTACAACAGAAAATCAAGACATACAAGAGGCAGATCGAAGAGGCTGAAGAAATTGCAGCACTTAATCTTGCTAAATTCCGCAAGGCACAGCAGGAGCTTGAGGAAGCCGAAGAGAGAGCAGATCTCGCTGAACAGGCAATCACAAAGTTCCGTACTAAGGGAGGACGTGGAGGTAGCCAAGCACGTGGTCTTAGCCCAGCGGTAAGATGATTTATCATTCTTCAAGAAGTTTCAGTAAAATACGTATGAAAAAATTGAATAGAAAAACCTATTGAACACTCTATTGAATTTCTATTAGAGTTTCATTAAAATTCTATGAAAAATTCAGTGCTTTTTTTCGCAATTCCAATCAAAAATTATACAACTTTTTCGTGCATTTTTCAATTGAAAATTTTTTACAGAAAAAAAGTCTGTGGATGTTGATTTATCTATACCACTTGTTCTGCTTCTGATTCCTTCTATTAGAATCCTTGGACATAAATTTCCTGAATTCGTTTTCTTGGATTTAAATATAAGAAACAACTAAAAATACAGCTGAAAAAACTTCATGCCCAAGAATTTCTATAGAAAAATAAAGATCCAATGACTTTTTTCCATCAAATATATCTTTAAAAACAATGACACGATAAAATTGCATTATCTTCAATAGAATCAATAGAATTGGTGGAAAAAAACAATAGAATTTGTTGAAGAAACTGCTAGTTTTTTCTATTCATTTTTTTTTTCATTCGTGAAGGATTAATGGAGAGGACATTCAATAGTCGATTGAACGAATTCGTTTTTAAGCCGGAAAGGATCAGTAGAAAATGACCAAGTATTACAAGAAATCCATTCTGCAAAGTCATTAATTGCTTATCATTAATGACAACGTAATTTATTTTGTGGATTAGATCATTAATGAATGAAGCAAAATGAGATCTTCTCTAGTCTTGATTCATTGGGAGTGTGCTTTGCAGAAACGTTATTCTTCAAATTCACTATTGAATCATTTTGGCTATTGTCATGATGCGTTGGAAGAAACAAAAATTAAAAATTGATAATTCCGTACGGGGAATGACCTTTATCATGTCTAAATGTAGCCCCAGCAGAAGGCTCGTAAGCCTGCAGTTCTATCGGAGTAATTCATCTGTACCGCACTGGTTCATGTAAGTGCGTGTGTACGTGTAGTTAATTTTGTGTGTGAAGTTCGTTATCGCAATCACACACACACTGCCACACGTATTGTATTCACTCTGTGTTTATTCATTATATCACGCAATCCTTTACAGATAAACAGACCTGTGAGGTATCCACGACCCTCCACTTTGGAAACAAAAATGAAAAAAATTGTCTATTTCATTTTTATGTACTGACGACGTTTCATGTTTCATAGTTGAGTGGGATGAGGATTATTAATGAAAAACTTGTGATTTTTGAAGTTTCTGTGGGGAATTTTAGGATGGTACTGATGTAATCGAAAAACTGAGGAATTTTTTCTTTTGAAATTCTGTTTGGAGACTTTGTTCCCTTTGCATGTTCTTGAGAAACTGAATAAAGATCATAAAATTTTTTTCTGATGGCCAAACGAAAAATTGTCATAACTCAGGGACTACTAGGACGAAATGAGTCGCAGGGTAGTGGGTTCCATCAGAACGTTCCTTAGCTTTTCAATGACACCCCTCAGGACCTTCGTTTTCTCTTCATTCTCCAGAAAATTACTGGCATCACGAATAAAAAGATTAACCAAAATTACTCATTTCCTCAATCATCTTCTCAGATAAATCATCACTTCAGTTAGAAAATAATGTGCAATGATTTTTTAATTACAGCCACACAGACCAGCTTTCAAAACCCCATTCGATGGTTCCTCATTCCCGCCAAGGTTCGATCTACAGCCTGACGGTGATTTTTAAAGCGCCTACCACTTATCATCAATAATAAAATTCAACATCATATTCCTCAAAAGTATCACAAAACATTCACTGATACTTTATCAACGATGAATCATTTATTCAATAATTAAATAGGATTTTGCACTTGTTTATTACTTTTTATTGGGTACAGTTTTAGCCTTATTTCTTCAATTATCAGTTTTATGAATTTTATTACTATAATATTCATCAATAAAAGCAGAAGGGAACGTGAAAATATTATTCGTTGAAAAATCATTCATGACATTAGACAGATTTGTTTCTACATATGTATTGATATTCCTGATTGATAAAGTAAAGGGGTTAATCAGCTGTTTGTAAACTGTACCCACGAGTGCACTCCTGTTTTATAAACTAATTTAGTTTATAAAATTAAAAAAATGAAAAAAAAACAAAACATGTATTTATTAAAATAAATAAGCAATAAATCTATGCCGAGTTTCCTTTGTTATTCCTTTCCCCAATTTGCCCACTACGTAGAATTTATCTTTTGAAAAAACAGATGAAGTACGAAACTTAGATAACAAATGTTAACTACATATTTATTCCTGAAATAATGATGGAGACTTGTGAAGTTATGACATTACAACGCAGAGTTTCACAATCGTCTAAACCTATTAAAAGAAAGAAAATACGGATGTAATTTTTTTGTTTAATTTTCATATCCATCAATGAAGAAATTTCATATCGGAATGAGAAAACGCAGACTGGAGCCCATATTTGCGAGATTGCCAATTTGTTGAATCAAAAATTTCAGTTTTATATTTTATTTCCATTCATATTCAACTTTAGTTCATGAAGAAGAAATTCGTTTCACGCTGGAAATTATTGGAACTCGGAATGATTCTTATTTTAGGAATTGTTCTCTTACCAATAAACTAGAATCAGTGCGTTGTAATGCAGGTTTTTGAAGTAGATCCAACGGGATCACTTCAGGATTCCAGTGATATCGTGGTATAAAATCTTAATATATATATGTTCAGTAGAATCTAGTCGACTTCCGTTGAATAGTGGAAGAAAAAAATAACTCCCGTAGAAACTAGGTGTGCGAATATTCGGAATTTCAAATAATTCGTAGCGAATTGTATTCAAATTATTCCCATTCATTTTGCTCAAATTTATGCAGAATTCGATTATTTTCACAAATTAGCATTACTAACTTATAGAAATTGTCGCATTGCAAATACGATAGAAACCAAGCATTTGGTAAAAGTAATTCGTGAAAATTCAGAGAAGTGTATAATCTAAAAAAGTGATAGAATCTCTTCCCAATATTGTCGAAGTTAATACAGATGTAGAAATTCACTATTTGAATTTCACAATTTTTACTTTGGACTTTTGATGAAAAGTCCAACTTATTCATTTAGCCCTGCTTACCCCTACATTTACCAGTAAATTGGGGGGGGGGAAATTGTACCAACCTGACTGTTGGAACGTTCGAATCACCGGAGAAATAAAGAAAAAAAATGTCTCATATACCAGATAATTACTTTTATTTCGATCATTCACTTCAGTGGTATAAAACGAGAGGAGTGAGTAGCACCAATACCGGGCCTACCGTGTTTGACAGGTTTGTAAGTGACTGAAAATTCACCGAGGTAATGTCCAATCATCTCAGGCTTGATTTCAACCTGGTTGAATGTTTTACCGTTGTAAACTCCAACGATCGAGCCAACCATTTCTGGGACAATGATCATATTACGAAGGTGAGTTTTCACGATCTCTGGTTTCTCATTTGGTGGAGCCTCTTTCTTGGCTTTGCGTAGTTTCTTGACGAGAGCCATTGGCTTCCTCTTCAAACCGTGGGAGAAACGCCTGCGCGCACGGGCGTGCATCAATTCCATGAGTTGCTCACTGAAAAAAAAGAAAGTGAATAATAAAAAATTATTCGTTGAAGTTTAAAATAATTTAAGGTGGTATCTTGTTTGTACCATGTCTCTATATTTTATTTCATTGTTTTTCGTAAAGTTTTATTCCCAATGTTATGGCGAATATTCCAAGAACTCATTCAAGTAGTAAAGGTTTGAGCTGCAAAAATACTAAATCTGTCTGGAAGGTGATCGATTTTGTGTGAATCTTTTTTTTGCGTGTTTAAAATTTCACTCAAATCAGAATTGAATATTTCTGTAATTTATACGTAGAAATACGCTATCAAGTAAAAATTTGTAAGATTCAACCATGAAAAGCTTTATAAATACTATAAAGTGGGATGTTGGTTTTTTTAGCCATTGAAAACAACCGCCATTTTGAGATTCAAAATCACAACAGTTAAGGAAAATTCGAAGCAACAGTTCACATTTTCGTACACCATCGCGCAACTACCTATCGAAAAATAGATAATCCATCTATTGGGCAAAGTCTATACGGAAAATATGAATTGGTAAGTTTCTGAGCGTGGACATTCAATGTTTTTGGAAATATCACATTGTTCCCATCCCTGTATTTTTCCTACTACAATATGAAAAATTTTCAATTTTAACAGTTTTCTTCATTCATGACAGGGGACAAAATGAATACTTCTGACTTTTTTTTAAATATTCGTAATTGAGCGCAGTCTAGGTACACCACAAAGGGAACCGCAAAATGCACTTTTCACATTACGAATTCAAAACGTCATTAATATATTTCGAAAAAGTCTACGTGTTCATTCTGCCCCATTCACCCCTATTCACGAAAATATATTATATTTTCATAAACAAATATGAAAGGATCATTAAACTTGAATACATCTCCAGCTTTATCGTGAAACTTTGAGGAAATAATGGTCAATAGAGATACAGGAATTGTCAAATAGTCTCGTTGGGAAGTATTATTTTACGTTTCATGGTATCATTTCACTATATTTAAGGATTTTCTCTAAAAAAGAAAATTTAAGACTGGAATTTTGAAACGCACATAACCACTTTTCACCACCAGTGTGCACTCTCAACATACAGGTTATCTTTCCCGACAATTCACAAAAAAATAACTCACTTTGGCATATCCAGGAGTTGATCGAGGTCCACTCCACGGAAAGTGAATTTCCTGAAAGTTCTCTTCTTCTTCAGAGTTTCGTCAACCTGAAAACTCATCGGCGTTTATAAAGAATTCAATAATTCCATTAACATTCGAGAATAGCTTTCAAATTATGACCACTGCAATCACATGAATCCATATGAAAATAATGCCAGAAGGGGAAAATATTTCATTTTCTAGGGTTGGAAAATTCCAATGAGAAGAACGGTGTAGTGGATTGAATTTCCGTTGTCGAGATTGCATTAAAAAACTCGGATTTTATTGAATGAATTGAGAAAATTCGTACCTCAGCCATTGTGCTGTTCTCGGGAGAGACGTTGAAAGGAAAGAAATATGACGACGCCGACCATTGATGATGAAAATTGGCAGACCAGAAACCGTTCAAATTTGAGCATTCGAAGATCGAAATTCCCTAGACAATAGGAAGCAGAGCCATCTAGAGGAAAATTTGGACAAGCTCATAGCAGAGATTGGGTGACCCCCACGACCGCCACTTTACCATCATCAAATGCCGCAAACTTGACGAAACTAAAAATTCCGTAGCATCTAAAAAAAACAAACATAAAAAATGTAAAGGGTGCAAGTATTTGATTGTAATCTTCTCCAAAGCTGGTTCAGAGATAATAGGGGAGATTGCTCAGGCTTATGGGAACTGTTCGATCAGAGTTACATAGCGGTGGCGCGCATGAACTAATCGAGAGGCCGTCTCTGTGGGTAAAGAAATTTTCATCTATTACCATGGAAACAGTCGATAACAGGGATGCGTTCCCAATCTTAAATCCAACATGAAACCTCCTTTGCATTCACTCATCCGCTTGATTATCCCATTTTCGTTCATACAACTTCTTATTGTCTTAATTTGTAAATTAGTTGATCATAAAGGAGAGGGAGAGAAGGAATTATGAAGTCTTGAGCGAANTAAATTAGTTGATCATAAAGGAGAGGGAGAGAAGGAATTATGAGTCTTGAGCGAAAGAGGATCATTTATTTGAATTTCTATACAACTAGATCTTTAATAA